TGAGGAAGACAGCGGTGGCCTCGCGCCCCGCGTCGTGGCCGCCCCTCACTGCGGGATCGCAGCGAATGAGCCAGGGCCGAGCGTGGACGCGAAGCAGCCCCGGCGCCTCGCGCGGCTCCCTGTGCGCGGGCCAGGCCCTTTCTTGCAGGCCGTGTTTCGTTTTAATCTCTTCTTTGAGTGCCCATGTGGGAAAAGCGGATAAGCGGCGACTCCTTTTCCAAGCAAAGAGATCTGGCAATCAGCTTAGGGTGGCATTGGCCCCGGCGCCTCTAAATACCCGCGGGGTTTGAGGGCAGCCCTGGGGCGGTGGAGGCTGGAGCCCGCCGGGCCCTCTTGGCTCCTGATTGCAGCTTTTCTTTGGGAATAAACAAGGGGAAAGGAGAGGAAAAAAAAAAAGAAAAGAAAATATATTTTGCTTGAAAAACTCTTAAGGAAGGAAAATGAGCCCTGTTATGTTAAACCTTGAGTGTAAATGAGGCACAGTGCGAGTAAACACATCTGTGTTCAGGCAGGGATAAAAAAAAGAGTCCTTATGAATAATGCATGGCAGGAATCCTCGCGCTCATTGAGCGCAGTCTGTTCCCTCCTTCTGTTTAACTGTTGCTTGAGAAGGTCCCAAGGTGCTGGAGCATGAGGCTGCACAGGGACCTGGCGCATCCCACGGGAAGCGGAAGCAGACACAGGGAGAATCCATCTCCCTTGTGTCCCTCGACCTATTTTATTATAGTCTTTTTAAACTAGCTGCGTTTGCACGCGGGCTGCAGCTCTGCAAGGGGGTTAGCGCAAGTGATTTCCACTCGGGGCCTTCCTAAGCAAAGTGCCTTCTCAGATCTCTCTATTTTGGGTCTACCTGGTCCGAGTTCAAGTGAGTTTTCTCAGCAGGTCCCATGTGGGCAGCCCTTCCAAAGCTATCGCTCTCGACAGGACTCAAGCGCCGAGCACGCGCTTCCCTTCACGTTCCACTGCTCTGCGGATGAGCAAGAGCCCCGAAATTCCCTCTTGACGTCCAGGGCTGCAGCATCCGCGAGGCTTTTTGAGGATACGCTGAGCTCTTCCCGGCCGCGGTGCGCTCACTCCGCTTACTCCGGGTCATTTTATAAGCCCAGTCTACAATTTGACATAAATGCTCTGCTCTCAGCAGATGGTGAGCTACTATTTTTTCCCCTCATTTAAATAGGAAAGCTGCACGGCACCGGGGATGAGGGCTGTGGCGCGGCCCCACGCTGTAGATTACCAGGGCTGCTCTAGCGGGAATTAAATCCGGGCAGTTTCGAGGGACCATCTGGGCTCTGGGGTGGCAGAGCCCCCGCGTCCCGTCCTGCCCAGCACGGAGCGCAGGAAGGCGCTTGGAAGTTACAGAATGATGCTGGTGTTGACTGTCCCTCTGAAGAAACATGGTAAATTAATTGTGCGAAGCTAATTAAAAAAAAAAAATCCCCAAATTACCCTGTTTGTCCCACAGCCCTTTAGCAGTTCTGGTGAGGTGCTTTAGTCTATTCTCACGTTTGTTGAATTTCTAGAGATACCAAATGAGATGTTTGCTTTAGTGCAAATTAGTGCAACTTAGAGCAAATTTTTAGAGTGTTTGCTTTGGTGCAGTTTAGAGTGAATTTCTCTCTCTCTCTCTCTCTTTCTCTCTCTCTCTCTTTCTCTCTTTCTCTCTTTCTCTCTCTCTCTCTTTCTCTCTCTCTCTCTTT